TGAGCTCAGAGGTAGTCTCAACACACCAGCTGACAGTCCCAAGGGGGTCTCTATGACTGAATTTATCACACTTGACCTATGTATGGTTTATGAAATACTGTAATAAAAGCTAAGATAGCCCTGAAAGATCCAACAGTTTGACAGACAGTTGTATTCATGCCCATACACTGATGTGTAGTTTGTAAGTATTCAAAAGTATAGTAGTTAGAAGGGGTATATGCAGGAATTTAAATATGGCCCCTCCCCAAGGAAGGAGGTCACTGCCCCACTACCCTCCCCAGCAGGAGGCTACCCTTCCCTGCCTCTGTGACCCCAGCGCCAGAGAAGTTCTATACCCCCCATGATTATTAGGGAGCATGCCCCTACTTACCCCCCCCACACACACACACACACACAGGTTAGCCTTGTGCTTCATACTGAAGAGCACCAAGTTAAATGCTGCCACAGAGCTGAATATGCACTTTGAGAGTTCTCAGCCCTGTGTACTCCAAGAAAGAAGAAGTTCTGTTTCCTCTTTGTACAAACCACATTTCTAATCAACATTTTAGAGGAACTTAAGTAATTAACACCCTTTAAAAGTTTCATTAAGAATGTTCACTCAACCCGGTAATCATTTAAATACAAATATAAATAAACTACTACTATACAGTGACTTCATAAAAGTATGGTTCTACTTTGAAAAGAAACTAAGTCTGGCCCCTTTTCTCAAATATGGATGTTCTTATTGAATCAGTGACCACATTTCCAGATATGGTGTATTTATGAACACGAAAGTAACTCACTTTCTTTACACTATTCTGTAGGAAGTTTCTTTTTTCAAAAGAAGTGATTTTGGCAGTATTCTTAAGCAAAACCCAGATGTAAAGATGGTCACTTTTGAGCAAAATGTCAACTATGAACATAAAGACCTTCACATCTTTCAGAGGAAAGTTCCACAGCTCTGGGCCAGAAAGCACTTTTAATAGCCATTCCATTTTTTCCAGTGGAACATAGCTATTACAAGAGATCATATGAACTCAAATCTGACCAGCTTGGACAAAATAGAGATTTACTGCTTTTACGCCTGTGATCTCTGTAGTGCTAACAAAACAATGAGGGAAGGTGCTAGATTCTATTCCTTGTGTTTTAAAGATCTGTTTACCAAGTGGAGAGGCAGTATCTAAGAGAGGTTTAGCAAGAGAACTGGATTCCACTCCCTGCTCTGATGTTTAGCAAGTCATTTCTCCCATATCTTCTGTCTTTTCTAATTAGATGGTAAACACTTTGGAGCAGGAACTCTTAGTATGCATTTGTATTGTATTATAATATCTTGTATGGTAGTGCCCCCTCAGCCCCATCTCAGTTGGAGTCCTCCAGAATCTACTGTAATAAATTTTAGTTGTAGTTTTGCAACCCCAATTAAGGCAATGGAATTACACATCCATCTCTAGGGGTATAATTTGGCTCATAGACCAATGAAGGAGAGAAAGCCTAGCCCAACTTTGACACCATATAGTTTCCAAAACCAGAAATTAGAATGAACATTAGTATACCTATTTCTTAGTACAGATATCAAAGGCTAGTAAGGAACTGGAGTCATATGTTCATCCCCTTTGAGTAGGGCAGGATTGCTCTTCCATTAACCCAGTGTTTCTCCTTACCAGTTTTTGGTGATATCTTGCTGAGACATGATCACAGCATTTTCTGGCAAGTTCATGTCTAACTGATTTCACTCAATGCTTTAACATCTCTCCTACTTCCCTTTTCTATTTTAGTTTCAGATGGTATCCAAACACTTTTATATATTAACTAAATTATTTACACATCACTATCACATTTAGTTTCTTGGCTTTAAGTGTTGGATTTCTTGAGTAAACGTGTATACAATACTTTGTTTTTAAAATCACACTTCTTTAGAATCCCTCCAATTTATCAATTTGGGTTTGTTTGAATCAATGTTTACTAAAAACATGAATGGAACAAAGAAGAGGCTTAAGTAGAATCCTAAACAAGATGTAAGCACTGTGGCAGTGAGTCAACTCAAACCAGGTCTTGTATATGTTGCTTCAACCCAGATTCTATTCTAACCTCAGATGCTGAAGGTGCATTGAGAAAAGATAGTTTCCTGAGCAAACAAGCTATGAGCACTGGCTTGCATGTGAAATTAGAATCACTCTTAATATCAGCCCAATTCCTTAATCAAGGGGTGGATGATTGTATTGGCTTAAAGAAATCTTTTTCCCCCTCCCTTTATAAGAATAATATTTTATATATGCGCACTTCAAAACCTGGTGATCTTATAACATATCTGCTGTCTATATACAATGAATATTTAGCAGTAGTATGGATATACAAGTTGATTTCAGTACTCTATAGTAAAAATTCCAAATGTTAAATATTTGTTTTATTAATAACTGAGTTATTAGAAACCGAAACATTGAATTTTTGTCCTTGAAACAAAGAGGCCATCAAGACATCAACAGCTCTGGTGCACACAAGTCAAAGCATGCATAGGAGAAAAAAGGTTTAGAAAGATGGAAAACAAAATTTTTCAAGAAAAAAAATAAATACCACATTCCTACTACCTTTCTCCCTTCCAAAACATCAATAGGAGACTGTACAAGTCAGCATTAAGTATGCACAGACTAATGATGAACAACTATTTCTGGGGGCTGATCTACCCACAGAGGTAGTTGATGTGTGGCTTCAGGGTCCTCACATACTAGGTTCTCTACCTTTGAGTATGGCACACCAAAAACAGAGGCAGGTTACTAGAAATGTAGCATGGAAAAAAAAGTCAAAGGAGAGGTACTGTGCTTACATTTTTGGCAACAAGATCTTCTAAATACAAGTTTAAAAATAGGTCTACAATTTCATGCTAATGTGCAATAGCCTCCAGTCTGACCCATGAATCATGATGAATGTCACCATCAGTGAAAGTTTTTCAACAACTTTGCATAGCCACACTTTAATGTTAATCTCACTGTTGTTATGTTTACCTTAGTACTTTGCTTTCCTGAGTCAAATCATTTAGAGGGAAGACATGCCAGCACATGTCCCTACAAAAATCTCACTCAAAGCCAATAGGTGATGGGGGCACTGTGGAGGAAGCACGGTCAGCCCCGAAGGCAAGAAGCACCATTTGTTCCTACACATAACATTTTTGCCTGATGTGTTTAAACTGTCTTTCCAGAGTACTGGGCAAATGATGCGGGACTTCAGCCCTTTGCTACTAACTGGGAGGGGTGGAGGGTAGAGAGTTAAGGACACATGCACCAGGAAATAGAAATACAGAATTTGCAAAACGTTTGCTTAGCCTGAATTAAGGAATTCATAGCCTGTGTACAGCATCTGCAGCCATTTCACCTTGCAATATAGGACATGCTAGACAACAGCAGAGTTGTAAATGGTAACTATTTAGTATAGACTTTAAGTGAAAAAAGTAGGCCTACAGCATATTTTAAAGGAATCAACAGTATAGTCCAGCAAGCCCGCTAGACTCCACTACAAAGTAATAAGAATTGAAGGAAGCGGGAATTCTGCCATGAAGGTTTTCTTGCCACTTCACAGTGCTAGGTATTCCGACACTGAAAGTGTCATGTGCATCTCCAGCAAGCACTGAGAAAGCATCAAGTGTAGAATCTTGATTTAATGAGGTGACAGAAGTGTATCACATATACACAGAATAGGAACTTCAACACTGATGGACACTTTGAAAGAAGTTTCCCAGCATTACCTGCTAGAAGCAAAGAGCAGGGTTGAAGGGATAAAGTCACACAGAGAAGGTCAATACCACCTCCAGAGCAGTAGTGTCAAAGCCAGAGCCAATTACAAATCCACACATGCATGCACGTACACAAAATAGTTTGCCTTTTCCCTCCTCAATATTGTAAGGACAACCCATCCCAGGTCAATGTCCAATACTTCGTTAGAAGCCCAATTTTCCTAAATTTTGGTTCTATTAACATAGCACCTGGCCATGGTCCAGGACCCTGTTGTGCTATGTGCTGTAAAGACACAGAACAGAGACAGTCCTGCCCAGGAGAGACTGCAATTTAAGTACTCCCAAACAGGCTGAATAAGCATTGCATATCTGGCACATAAATATCTTGCAATGCCAGCTACAAAAGCGCCATGTGAACGCCTCTTCTCCTTTCTGGAGACATTGTAAATAAGTGGGCAGCATTATCTCCCATAAATGTAAACAAACTTGTTTCTCTTTGCAATTGGCTGAAGAAGAAGTAGGACTGAGCTGACTTATAGGCTCAAGTTTTGCATTGTTTTGCTTCTGAGTGCAGTTATGTAACAAAAAACCCACATACACCACCTACATATTGTGAAAATACAACTTACAAAAAGAGATTGTACTATAGTACGTGTCTGAGGTGACCTGAAAAATATTTGCAGTGTAAGAGTGATAGTATCTGTAATCAAAAATATCAAGTGAGCAGTGTACACTTTGTATTGTGTTGAAACTGAAATCCCTACATTTGAAAATGTAGAACATCCAAAAATATTTAATACATTTCAATTTGTATTCTATTGTTTAACAGTGCAATTAATTGTTATTAACTCAAAAAACCCCAATCACTTGAGTAATCTGTGATCAACAGCCCTTCTAAAAACAGAAAATTGAGACAAGGTAGCAGTTAGTGAAATTTAACATCAAGATGGGACCTTAATGAAGAAGGCACCACCAGCAATTTAACAGTGCCTAGTACTTTGCAGCACATAAAGGCAGCATTGATCTACACCAGTAGGGAGCCCAAGAGTCTGCCCAAAGCCCTTAATAAGCCACACACACACTGAGATGGTACAACTGGAAGCACACCCAAAACCCCAGTAAGCAATACTGTGTGGATACAAAACAAAAAAGGGAACATATCCCACATCTTCCTCTGCCCTTGATACACTTTCATATACAAATACATAGGGATCTATTTAGACACAACTCTGTGCATATTCAGTTACCCTATTCATTTTGTTAGAAAAATACCAAAAATACTGAAGTATGAGCTTACCTTCAAGTTTAGATCCATATTGGTATATTCCACCGGCAAAGTGTGGAAAGGCAAACACAAGTGATCCCAATCCTATCATAAATGATGAAAAGGCAAGCCATCTTGGTTTGTGCCCTCTTTCTCCAAAGAAAGATACAAACAGCGACAATACACAAAAAGCAATGTCATAGCTTGCAGAGATGACACCAGTGAGGGAACTGCTCAGCTCAAAACGCTTTTCAATTGTGGAAATACTAACATTTACTAGGCCATTCACCACAATACCTATAAAAAAAAAACACACAACAATTAGACAAACCAAGTAAGTATTATTTTCTGGAAAAACTACAATGCAATCTTACCACTGGATCATGTGCAAGTTCAAACTCAGTCTTGCCATTCAATCACCACAACTAGCATAAAAGGACTGGAGAAGGGCTCACCCTGTGAACTGTAATATCAAACCTACAACATATGAATTAAGTGTAGGAGTACTGGGGGGGGGGGGCGAAAGCAGGGAGAAGAGGCATTCCATTATTCAATGCCACTATGACAGATTTGCATGACAGGTTGTTTTTTTCACTTAGGGGACACACACACACACACACACACGTAGAGGCCTTAATGACCTAAAGGAATGAGCAAATATCAAGCTGGTTTTCTGCTTGTCATTTTTTTGGCGTATGTATAGCACTTCAAACATCTACTTAGGTCCCTGAGCACCCATATGAAGTAGGTAAGCCTTTTTATATTTTAAAAATGGGAAACTGGCTCACAAGAGTTAAATAAATATCTCTATACCACAAAAGCAAAGTAGGTCAGTAATGGATTACGGGAAAAAAAAAAAGTTAAATATTCTTATTGTAATTGGTCATTGATTTAGTTATCAGTGTTCAATTCACAGACAAAATGACAAGCAAATTCATTACAATTCAATTTGTAGATGAACTTCCTTTATAAGATAATAATTTAATACTAAATGCAATTTCTGGCTAGATAATTGTCAGAGGCTTATTACAAAAGGAGAAACAGTTGCTTTAGCAGAGATGGAACTGCTGATCCAGACACTATACTGTGGGCAACTCCCAGGTCTTACTCAAAGAATTCTTAGCAGCCAAGTAAATATTAGCTAAAGAACAGTGTTTCAGCTACTTGCATTTCTACAGTATGTGAAGGCTAATCCATAGTGTGGTCCACAGTAGGTACTGCACCAAAGAACTAGGATATTAGTTAGCAAGTCATTAATCTTTGACTTGCTTTCCTAAAGCTAGGTCACTACTATTTTACCTTTTTACTAGGACTGTCAATCAGTTAACTCATGCGATTAACTCAAAAAATCAATCTCAATTAATTGCACTGTTAAATAGCATACCAATTGAAATTTGTTACTGTCAAGGTTCCTCCCCCACTCTGAACTCTAGGGTACAGATGTGGGGACCTGCATGAAAAACCTCCTAAGCTTATCTTTACCAGCTTAGGTCAAAACTTCCCCAAGGTACAAAATATTCCACCCTTTGTCCTTGGATTGGCCACTACCAAACTAATACTGGTTACTGGGGAAGAGCTGTTTGGACGCGTCTTTCCCCCCAAAATACTTCCCAAAACCTTGCACCCCACTTCCTGGACAAGGTTTGGTAAAAAGTCACCAATTTGCCTAGGTGACTACAAACCCAGACCCTTGGATCTGAGAACAATCCTCCCAACACTTGCACCCCCTTTCCTGGGAAATGTTGGATAAAAAGCCTCACCAATTTGCATAGGTGACCACAGACACAAACCCTTGGATCTGAGAACAATGAAAAAGCATTCAGTTTTCTTACAAGAAGACTTTTAATAGAAGTAAAGAAATCCCCTCTGTAAAATCAGGATGGTAGATACCTTACAGGGTAATTATTCAAAACATAGAGAATCCCTCTAGGCAAAACCTTAAGTTACAAAAAAGGTACACAGACAGGAATAGTCATTCTATTGAGCACAGTTCTTTTCTCAGCCATTTAAAGAAATCATAATCTAACATGTACCTAGCTAGATTACTTACTAAAAGTTCTAAGACTCCATTCCTGGTCTATCCCCAGCAAAGACAGAATATAGACAGACACACAGACCCTTTGTTTCTCTCCCTCCTCCCAGCTTTTGAAAGTATCTTGTCTCCTCATTGGTCATTTTGGTCAGGTGCCAGCGAGGTTACCTTTAGCTTCTTAACCCTTTACAGGTGAGAGGAGCTTTCCCCTGGCCAGGAGGGATTTCAAAGAGGTTTACCCTTCCCTTTATATTTATGACAGTTACATTTTTGTATGTTTTCTACATTTTCAAATATATCGATTTCAATTACAACACAGAATACAGTGTATAGTGCTCACTATTTTTTATTAAAAATATCTGCACTGTGAAAATGATAATAGTATTTTTCAATTCACCTCATACAAGTTGTCATAAATATAAAGGGAAGGGTAAACCCCTTTAAAATCCCTCCTGGCCAGAGGAAAAATCCTCTCACCTGTAAAGGGTTAAGAAGCTAAAGGTAACCTCGCTGGCACCTGACCAAAATGACCAATGAGGAGACAAGATACTTTCAAAAGCTGGGAGGAGGGAGAGAAACAAAGGATCTGCATCTGTATGCTGCTTTTGCCGGGGATAGAACAGGAATGGAGTCTTAGAACTTTTAGTAAGTAATCTAGCTAGGTATGTGTTAGATTATGATTTCTTTAAATGGCTGAGAAAAGAACTGTGCTCAATAGAATGACTATTCCTGTCTGTGTACCTTTTTTGTAACTTAAGGTTTTGCCTAGAGGGATTCTCTATGTTTTGAATAATTACCCTGTAAGGTATCTACCATCCTGATTTTACAGAGGGGATTTCTTTACTTCTATTAAAAGTCTTCTTGTAAGAAAACTGAATGCTTTTTCATTGTTCTCAGATCCAAGGGTTTGTGTCTGTGGTCACCTATGCAAATTGGTGAGGATTTTTACCAAACCTTTCCCAGGAAGTGGAGTGCAAGGGTTGGGAGGATTTTGGGGGAAAGAAGTGTCCAAATTAAGTTTCCCAGTAAACCCAGATAAAGTTCGGTGGTGGCAGTGGAAATCCAGGGTCAAAGGATAAAATTAATTTGTACTTGGGGAAGTTTTAACCTAAGCTGGTAAAAGTAAGCTTAGGAGGTTTTCATGCAGGTCCCCACATCTGTATCCTAGAGTTCAGAGTGGGGGAGGAACCTTGACACAAGTACAGTCAGTCATGAGTGTGCAACTTACAAATGTAGTTTTGTTACATAACTGCACTCAAAAACAATGCAAAAAACTTGAGCCTACAAGTCCACTCAGTCCAACTTCTTGTTCAGCCAATCGCTCAAAAACAAGTTTGTCTACATTTGCAGAAGATAATGCTGCCTGCTTCTTGTTTACAATGTCACATGAAAGTGAGAACAGGAATTTGCATGGCACTGTTGTAGCTGGCGTTGCAAGGTATTTGCATGCAAGATGCACTAAAGATTCATATATCCCTTGATGCTTCAACCACCATTCCAGAGGACATGTGTCCATGCTGATGATGGGTTCCGTTCAATAACTATCTAAAGCACTGTAGACTGACATGTTCATTTTCATCTGAGTCAGATGCCACAAGCTGAAAGTTGGTGTGTGTGCGTGGGTTCTGTAATTTCAGCATCAGGGGGCTGCTCTTTTAAGACTTCTGAAAGCATGCTGCATACCTCATCCCTGTCAGATTTTGGAAGGCACTTCAGATTCTTAAATCTTGGTTTGAGTGCTGTAGCATCTTTAGAAATTTCATGTTGGTGTACATTTTCATTGTCGAATCTGCAGTGAAAGTGTTCTTAAAAGAGGACGTGCTGGGTCATCATCTGAGACTACTAGAACACAGAATATATGGCAGAATGTGGGTAAAACAGAGTAGGAAACAGAATTCTCCCCCAAGGAGTTCAGTCACAAATTTAATTAACACATTTTTTAATGAACATCATCAGCATGGAAGCATGTCTTCTGGAATGGTGGCTGAAGCAGGAAGGGGCATATGAATGTTTAGCATATCTGGCACATAAATGCCTTGCAATGCCAGCTACAAGAGTGCCTGTTCTCACTTTCTGGTGACATAAATAAGAAGCAGGCAGCATTATCTCCCATAAATGTAAACAAACTTGTTTCTCTTAGTGATTGACTGAACAAGAAGTAGCACTGAGTGGACTTGTAGACTCTAAAGTTTTAGACTGTTTTATTTTTGAATGCAGGGTTTTTTGTACCTAATTCTACATTTGTAAGGTCAACTTTCATGATAAAGAGATTGCTCTACAGTATTGTATTTGGTGAATTGAAAAATAGCTCTTGTTTTTTAGTGCAAATATTTGTAATCAAAAATATAAAGTGAGCATTGTACACTTTGTATTGTGTTGTAACTGAAATCAATATTTGAATTGTAGAAAACATCCAAAAATGTTTAAACTGAGCAATTTTTTTTTAAATCGTGCAACAGCCATTTTACCCATTCATATAGCATAGTGGCCAAAGATTCCACCCCCCCACTGCTAAGGGTTTTAGATGTGCATTGGTATCATGTCACTGTCTGCTTGAACCTTTACAATTGGTATGTGGCTTTGACAATTTTTATGACCAACTATAGCTTAATAAAAATATTATCTTGAAATTTAATCACTCATCCAAGTACCTCAAAACAATTTACAAACAATGCAGTATAATATTTTTATTAAGTTATGTCTGGTCACAAAGCTTGTCAAAGCCACACACGGATTGGCTGTATCTATTTTATCCTTCTCAGCTTACTCCTGGTGTCAATAATAGTCCTACCCAAAGTGTGAAAATAGCCATTCCTCCATTTGTCCAGGGAAAGAAGTGACTCAGAAGTGGCAGCCATTTATTTGGCAACAATAATGAAGACATTGTTGTCACATTCTGTCACTCAACTTGAAAAGCTATTACTAGTCCCTCCCACAGTTGTGAACTGCAGCATCTCTTGTTATAATTTATGGTGACTCAGACATGCATCCTAGGATGCAATTATGCACTTTTATATTGATCAAAGGGCACATAAATTAACTATATACAATACATAAATGACTATACTATAGAAATATAGGCCTCATCTGAACTTGGAAGATAGCGAGTAAAAAAAAAAAAGTCAGTTTTTCCAGACAGCTCCACTTGAAATGTAGGAGAATCTATCAATTGCAATATCATCTTTTTAAGGCCAGCTATTTGACTACAAAATTTTCATAAGTTGGAGTCCTAAGTGTGCCCAACGTTGCCTTCAGTTAAAACAGT